AAAATTCATCGCGATGTCGTTATCAATGGGAAGACAATGACCATGAGAATGGACACGGGTGCAGACGTGACGGTCATCAGTCTGAGGGATTGGAAGAATCTCGGGAGTCCACGTCTCCAGGGCTGCGAGAGTCCAATGACGGCTGCGAATGAGGGCCGGTTGGATTGTCGAGGATATTTCCAGTGCGAATTCAAACTGGACGGGAAAATTCTCTCAGGGCGCTGTTATGTCGTCGCTCACCCATATAGGCTTCTGGGCTGCGAATGGCTGAGACAACACGATGATCTTTGGAGATCGCTGAGGGGTGAAGAGAATGCAATATCCGTGTGCCAAGTCAAGGAATCCGACTTGAAAGCATTGACGGCGGAGGTAACCAAGAACCTCAGGGAAAGATATTCAGAAGTTTTCGCCTCAGGGCTCGGCAAGTGCACGAAAGTCAAGGCACATTTCAAGCTAAAAGAGAAGACTACACCAGTTTTCCGTAAAAGCCGACCGGTTCCGTACGCGACTCTTCAAAAACTCGAAGGCGAGTTGAATCGTCTCGTGGAAAACGGGGTGATATCACCTGTGTCACACTCAGAATTCGCGGCACCGGTCGTGATTGTGAAAAAGAAGACTGGAGAAATAAGGTTGTGCGCCGACTACAGTACTGGTTTGAACGAAGTTCTGCAAGATCATCCTCATCCCCTTCCGACCGCAGAAGACATAGTATATACGAGACTCAATGGCGGAGTCTACTTCAGTAATGTAGATCTAGCAGAAGCATATTTGCAGATCGAGGTTGTCGACGAATGCAAGGATATGCTCTGTATAAACACACCGAAAGGATTATTTCGGTATAACAGATTACCCTTCGGAGTGAAAACAGCTCCGGCAACTTTCCAACAAGTTATGGATATGATGATAGCTGGCCTCTCGAATACGGCTGCATATCTCGATGACATCGTCGTCACCGGAAAGACCTTGGAAGAGCACAATGAAAATCTCTACAAGCTCTTCGAACGAATTCAAGAGTTTGGCATGAGGGTTCGTCTCGATAAGTGTTCTTTCCTTAAGACTGAAATCAAGTTTCTCGGTCAGATGATCACGAAGGATGGCAGGAAACCGGACAAAGCGAAGATAGAAGCAATCGTGAAAATGCCTGCGCCTCAGACGGTGCCGGAGTTGAGAGCTCTCCTAGGTATGATCACCTACTATTCAGCATTCATGCCCGGTATGCGAGAGCTGCGAGCTCCTTTGGACAACCTGTTGAAAAAGGATACCAAATTCGTCTGGTGTGCCCAGTGTCAATCAGCTTTCGACAAGGTGAAGTCAATCTTACAATCCGATCTATTCTTGACTCATTACGATCCGCAGCTCCCACTCATTGTGGCAGCAGATGCCAGTAGCTACGGAATTGGAGCTGTATTGTCGCACAAATTCCCAGATGCAAAGGAGAAGGCTATATATCACGCGAGCCGATCCCTCTCGCCAGCGGAGAAAAATTACTCCCAAATCGAGAAAGAAGCCTTGGCGTTGACGTTCGCGTGTAAAAAGTTCCATAAATTCATTTATGGTCGCAAGTTCACACTCTTGACGGACCATCAGCCTTTGTTGGCGATTTTCGGGAGCAAATCTGGGATTCCCGTTTATACTGCGAATCGACTTCAACGCTGGGCGACAATGCTGATTGGATATGACTTCACGATTGAGTATCGCCAAACATCGAAGTTTGGGCAAGCGGATGCTCTTTCGAGACTGATCGCCGAGCAGCTGAACGACAAAGAAAGCGAAGATGTTGTCATCGGATCTATTGAGGCAGATATAAATGCGATTCTTGAGGATTGTACTCAAACAATTCCGATAACGAACAGACGCATCCGGGAACTAACCGAGAAGGACGACTTACTCCGGAAAGTGGAGATATGCATCAAAGATAAGTGGCCATCTAAGGTGGACCGGAACGATCCACTCTGGAATTTTTTCAACCGGAGAGCCTCCTTGTCAGTCGTCCAAGAATGTGTCATGACCGATGACCGGGTCGTGATACCGAAACCACTACAGGCCAAAATTCTGCACCAGCTTCACCTTGGACATCCAGGGGTTACCCGGATGAAACGCCTCGCAAGGAGCCTGGTGTACTGGCCTGGTGTTGATAAAGAAATCGAAGACGTTGTCCGCAAATGTTCGGCATGCTCCGAATTCAATCGCGATCCGTGCAAGGTTCGTCCTAGCCCTTGGGAGACTCCCACAGGACCTTGGGAGCGCGTTCATGCAGATTTCGCCGGGCCACTGGATGGATCCATGTTCCTCATTGTTGTCGACGCGTTTTCCAAATGGCCTGAAATTTTCGAGCTTCGATGCGCGACCTCGAAGACGACAATTGAGAAGCTTGTCGGTATTTTCGCAAGATTCGGTAATCCTTCTGTCCTTGTCACGGACAACGGCTCACAATTCACTTCTGACGTCTTCCGCAAATTCTGCGAGTCCCGAGGCATATCGCATCTTTTCTCTCCTCCATTTCATCCTCAATCGAATGGTCAAGCAGAAAGGTTCGTTGACATTTTCTAGAGGAGTTGGAAAAAACTTAAAGGGGAGGAGGGAAATCAGTCCGCCGTGGCGACTATGCTCCAAACCTACAGGAGCACCCCAAGAGCCGATGGCAAGACTCCGGCTGAACTGTTTTTAGGTCGCCAGATTCGAACGGAGCTGAGTCTGCTCGGACCAGCCTCAGGAACTCTCGGTTATACATCTGCTCCAGAACCCGGAATGAGGTCAGGGAAGAAAGAACACGACAAACGTCATCGACCGGAAGAGAGAGTTTTCCAAGTTCAAGATCTCGTATACGCCAAGGATTATCGAGTCGCAAGTAAGACTACTTGGACTCCGGGAATCGTTCTCGAAAAGAAAGGCAAAGTTCTATACGAAATCGCCGGAGACGACTTCGTTTGGGTTCGGCACGTGAATCAATTGAAAACACGCGTCCAGTCCACCGGTGAAGTTTCCAAGCGGTCAGCAGGCACCAGCCGTATTTTGCTGCGAGCCATGACGCAATCTGTTCGACAGGTGGAAGTTGCAGACGACTCTTCGGATGACGAGTCGTACACGACTCCCTGTGATTCAACTCCAGAAGAGTCTAGTCCAGAGGGGTCCGCGTCGGAGGATTCGTCTTCTACCCAAGTTCCGAACAGTCGTCTGTTGAGGCCTCGTCAGCACATTCCAACACCGCGCCGCCTCAACATCGACCCAACCAGGAAATCATACCTATGAGGTCTCGACCTAAACGGGGAGGTGTGAGGACTGTCGAGTCCTCCTGTATTTCGACTCTGTATTATATTCTGAACCAAATCACGTCGTCTATAAAAGGCATCACTTTTCCATGTTAATTCATTCGGTTACAACGACGAAGCAGTAATCATTCATCTCCTAGGACGGTCACGACAGAAACGCCGCGTGTAATGAACTCTATCTGATGGAGAAATTGTGTACGGCATGGGTGGAACCAATTATCATCTTCCCCTCCAAGTGTTGTAGATGGCTCAGCCTTCGATAAACCTTTGGAAAAATTCGAACTAACACTTATCTTCTCGATATTTGTCGGCTTCATTAGCTGGCTGTAACAGGGGTCGATCAGTCGATCATTCTATTCTCATCGCCCGTTTGTGAGGATCCAGTGACTAACTCTATTTATCGTCAACGACGAAATTCGAGCCGTCGAGCTGTCGAGTATGGACGTCGGAGATAATTCAATCGAGCGAGCGTCAACCCGTCTGGTGTTGCTACCCTTTTGGGGTGAGATCGGCGTGGAAATGGGTTCAGAGAGGTTCCTGGAGGTTCGGAACAATCATAATCAAATCAGAGCAAGCTACACCATCAAGGGCCGGTGGGTTCGATGTGGATCCGAACCGACGTTGAAATTCGATGTTGCGAGTGATGCAAGAGCGAATGACCGACAACTCTACATTTTCGCGGTTGAGAATCACGGCTCCCAGAGCGGCATTGATGAAGACGCCATGCGAAAGATCGCGAGACGAAACTTGGGCCGGTGTTCCAGTTGCGTCATGTGCGAACGATTGTCTTTGCTCTCCGCCCGCTTATTACTTCGTTCAACATGGGACGAAGTCAGAAGGATGATGGATATGAACGGAGCCTCGCCGAGTGATCCCTCGCACAAATAAACCGACTGGAGATCTGAGGATATTTGCAATCGAATATGATGAGAGGCTTTCATTTTCCTGCGATAGAGGGATGCACCGAGAGCCAATCTTAGTCTCTAAGAACAGCATGAGACTTAATCAGAAATATCGCCCGTTTAATTGCCTTGACGGTTTTCCTTCTTGGGACAGAATCTCTTGATAAACAACATTACGGGTGACGCTTCCCGGAGCAAGAACGAATAGGCTGTTCGGAGACCCGACCCTCGAGAATGCTACGTAAAGTTGTCCGTGTGAAAAGCACTGGGATTGTAGATTCACACCACATTGTGGGATTGATTGACCTTGAGATTTGTCGACTGTTATGGAGAAGGCGACGCGCACCGGCAATCGAAGTCGTTTAAATTGATAGGGCAAATCGGATGGTATCATAGGGATGCGTGGTATGAGCACTGTTCGACCTTTTCCAACACCCGTGAGAATGACTGCTTTCAATGAATGTGCGTGAAGAGCAGTAACGCAGAGTCTCGTTCCATTGCACAAATTGGGTGGCTCCAGGTTTCGCAGCAACATTACGGGACATCCTATCTCCAACCGCAACAGATGCGGTGGGAAACCAGGTGGAGTCTGGGAATTCAGAAATTCGATCGGATATTGGACAGCATCATCGATTTCGAGAGGGCAGTCGATAGACTTGTAATCGAAGTACTCCCCAGGAATCTGCAGCAGTAATTGAGAATTAATGTTGTCAACGTCTTCGTTTTTCGGGGCTAATATAGCCCTCTCTCGCAACCAATCATGATTGTGATAATTCGCTGCAAGGTCTGGGTATACTCGCGCAATGAGTTCTATGAAGGGGCGACCAAATTACAAACAGAAGCCAAGGTAACCTGATTTTCCCAAGGAGACCCTCATATTCTGCTTCAGGGATACTACTTCGACGCTGAACCAAAGGGTAGAACTTTTCAAACATGCATTGACTTCGTCAGCGGGGGTCGCTCTCGGGATAACAGGCAGAGTTTGTCGGAAATCGCCGCAAAGTAACAAAATAATTCCCCCCATCAGAATTCGGTTACCTCCGATATCTTGCAAGGTCTTGTGCAACGCTTCCAGTGACTTCTTATGCGCCATGGTGCATTCATCCCAGACGATCAATTTACATGATCGTAAAACCTTTGCCATACTACTTCGTCTACTGATGTTGCACACAGGTGATTCCTGTTTAGCGATGTCTGAGGGCAATTTCAACGTGGCGTGAGCTGTTCTACCTCCATGCAACAAAGTTGCGGCGATTCCCGAGGAAGCCATTGCCAAGGCTAAATCCCCCTTGCTTCGGACTTCTGCCAACAGCAAATTGGTGAGGAATGTCTTTCCAGTTCCCCCAGGTGCGTCGAGGAATGTGATTACTGGTTGTTCGGTTGA